AAAAAAAAAAAAAAAAAAAAAAAAAAAAAAAATCAACGATGAAAACAAAAAAAGCATTGACAACGTCACAACAGGAAGCAGCATTGTCAATCGTATGACAATGACAGCCGACATATCAGCGACGAGGGTTTGTGGGGGGGGGCCAAAGGTCGGGATGTGACGGCGGCGATGGCAAACGACTGCGTCCCTCCATCGGCCAACGTGCCGACGTCCACCGGCCAGCACTCCACGCTACCGGTCGTCGGCGAAGCGACACGACGGTCGGGGCCTGCAAAAAAAAAAAAAAAATACACATATTCAAAAAGAAAGAAAATAACGGGCATGAAACATGCCACAAACCACAGGGATCCCGCCCATAGACGTGTCCGTTCGTTGGACCGTACGGGAGGACGACAAGGCCACAAGTGGAAACGTTACCGTTTTCAAAGTAAAATAAAAAACAGAAACAGAGTCCGAGGTTCCGCGGGACACAGGCTCGGCAAAAATCGGCGCGCACTATAAATCAGGGTCGGCAAAAACAGGCTCGGAGGTACTGGTGGTTTAATTCAATTTTAAATGAGAAATGCATTTACAAATGGCAGGAATACAATTGTTCTCGTTTTTCATTTTTCACAATTGGAGTGGCATACGGGCACTTCCACAGCAGAAAATGAAGAGGTGCCCGGATCCCGTCCAAAAATGGCAAACAGAAGGAGGCTCGTACAGTTTCTCTTGAAAAACGCCTGTTGGGGGAACAAGAGGGTCGTTGAACTAGCTGTCTCGAAAAAAGGAGACAGCTAGTTCAACGAAGGGCAGGGGTAGTAGTATTCGAGAGAAAGGATTTATTTCTGTTTTTTTATGTAAGAAAAAGCGAAGATGGTCTCTATTGCCCTTTTTATTAGAAACGGACCGTTAGATGAATTGGACGACGTGCATCTCCCTTGTCGCATACAGTCACACAGGCTCGAAAACCCCACGTTGACCTAGCTCAACGGAGCTTGTGGGACAAGGTCCCGGGTGCCCAAGGCTTACATCAACATAGCAGAGTCAGATGGCTTGTGACAACCCCAAGGACAGATGGTTCTTTTTTTTTTTTTTTTTTACAGAAATAGCATAGTTTCATTATAAAGCCAAACGGAGGCCGGGAATCCCTCCACATCTCAACCCGGAGGAAAGCACAAGCCTCAGAGAGGCTAACTGGAAACCGGGTCCAGTGTCCCATGCTCTTAACAACAGTCCTGCTATTTCTGGAAAAAAGTGGAAAGTCAGCCAGAAGAAATCTACCAAAGGCCACAAAAGAACAGATGGTTCTTTCACAATCCCAAAAAACTTGACTTCCCATTCTGCACTCAGGCATACTCACACTATGACTTTTTTTACTTATTTTTTTGACATTCACTTCTGGTAGTATATGCGGTCAGATGCATTCAGGATGGTGCTAGTGTGAGTACAGCCTCATTCTCCTCCTAAGTAGTACATCTACGTTTGTGCTATCCGCAGGAGAGCTGTGCGGCCAGGCTGAACCCTATAATGGCAAAATCGCCAATGAGCATGGAAAGATACAAACCTTTTCTGTCTTTTCTGTCTCCGTGACCACCGTAGCAGCCAGGCCTTCTTGAGTGGCTTGAACTGGCTTCCACTTTCTTGGTTGTCAGAAGCGCCTTCGTGCACACACACACACACACACACACACAGAGAGAGAGAGAGAGAGAGAGAGAGAGAGAGAGAGAGAGAGAGAGAGAGAGAGAGAGAGAGAG